GGCTGGGAGCGGGTGCCGTGCCCTAGTTATGCTTTCTAAAGCTCACGTCTCCTGCTTGCAAATCACGTGTTAAACTGCAGGTTTCATTCTGCAGGTTGGACCTTACGCGCTCACTGCTAGAAGTGGCCCAGCAAACATAGCATCATGTTGCAACGCATTACAGCCACGCATTTTTTTTGCAGATGCATTGACTCTCTCTAAGCTAAAGGGCATGCAGAGGGTGCAGCCTAACGCTGCCCAAACCCCGAAACTGAAACTCTAGCAGGATACAAAAGCTTGAACCAGAAGCAGGCGTGCTGGCTGCTGCGCAGCATGCCACAGCCCTTCCTACCTGGCCCGTGATGCTTTCTGCCACATCTGACACCGAAGTCCCCGTGACACAAGACTGGCAGGCTTTCAAAGTTAATCTGACTCAATTATTAAAGTAAACACATTAAATCCCATCGTACGTAGGCTTTGTGAAGAGAACCGATTAACTGCCTGCCTAAATTTGCTTGGGTTCAAACTTTGAAATATGCAGCCAGAAAGAACTGAGCAAGTTCCCTTCCTATAACGAAAATGCAAATGCCCTACAGAAATGTCAAGAACCAAAGGCAATTACTTTCTAGTTCACTTCAGGAGTGACAAACTCCAGTTTTGGAGATGACTGTGCCCCAGTCACAAGTTGTGACCCCTTGAGAGACGGGATTACCTTTCCAGTGGGTGGGTGATGCTGGGATGGGCTCTGACCAGGGCTGCCTTCTGCTTCCCAGTGTGGGGATGGCGGCAGCAGAGGATGCTGAGGATGAAGATGCTGAGGAGGAGCAGGTCTTCCCCGCGGGCTCACCAGTGCCGCTGAGTGCACTGCGCAACGGGAGCTGCTACTCAGCGTGGGTGCAGGCCAGCAACGCGCTGGGCACTGCTTGCTCAGCCCCACAGCGCCTTGACCTGCAGGAGCTCGGTATGTCTGTCCGTCCATCCATCCATCCATGAGCTGCACCACGTGTTGGGGCCATGCAATGCCATATGCACCACCCCGAGATGTCACCTTAGGGACACGCACGAGTGGTGTTGCTCACGTGCGTGAGAGCAGCCGCCCATGGCGTGCCAGCCCCCTTTCCTGGCTCTCCCCGCAGTGGTGCCTGCTCTGCCCCTGGTTGCCAGCGCTGAGACAACAGAGACATCACCTCCCACCACCACCATCCACTGGAGGAAGCAGACACTGCTGGACAACGTGCACTGTGAGGAGCGACACAAAGCCACAGGCACCTCAGCATGGCATGTGAGACAGCCCGGGACCCCCCAAAACCTCCCCCCATGCAGACCTGTGGGAGGGGGGACCCTGTGTGAGCTGCCCCCCTTTAGGAGACGTGCCAGTCCTAGACCTGCTGGAGACCCCTACGGGCAATGGCAGCATTTGAGGGTCATTCAAAACCCACCCTTTTGCTTCGGTGCCAGTGGGGGGCACACACCTCAGCTATGGACAGCCCCCTACTTTTGGTGGGGCAGGACACCTGATGCCCTCTGAGAGGGCAGGCAGACTTTCAGGCAAGGTTAGCTCTGCTTTTTAAGGAAAAGGGCAAAATTCAAAATATTTCCAAATGTTATCCAGCTCTGTAAGGACAAGGCAAAACAGCCTCTAGGGATGCTCAGTGCACGCACACTTCGTCGGTCGCCCCTGCACACTCACAGACACAACTGCCCCGGGGGCAGCTCCACCCGGGTCCCTTTTGGAAACCTCCCCAGGTGCTGGCAGGGGCTGAAGCTGGATCCCAGCGCCCTCTGGAGCCCCCGAAATTGCCGTGGTGCCAGAAACCCCGTGCGGCGCCTGACTGGGGGCTCTTGCTGCACACCCCCCAGCTTGCCCTTAGCAGAGCAGACTGCGCGTGCACCGCATCTTGCAACAGCATCAGTCTCAAAAGCACATGCCGAAGCACCACGGGAGGAGCGATGGGGACCCCCTCGCAGGCAGTCCCCCAGGGCAGGCTCTGCCCCAAGGGTTAGCCAGCCCTGTGTGCTCGGGGAGGACTGTGACCATTCCCATCCGTGCAGACGAGGAAGGCAGCGACCGCCGCGCAGACTGCGCGTGCACCGCATCTTGCAACAGCATCAGTCTCAAAAGCACATGCCGAAGCACCACGGGAGGAGCGATGGGGACCCCCTCGCAGGCAGTCCCCCAGGGCAGGCTCTGCCCCAAGGGTTAGCCAGCCCTGTGTGCTCGGGGAGGACTGTGACCATTCCCATCCGTGCAGACGAGGAAGGCAGCGACCGCCGCGTGTTCCCGCTCTGCATTGGGGGCCGGAAGAGGCGGGTTTTTTTCCCCCTCAGCACCCTGCTTCCTTTGCAGGTGGAGGTGTGGGATGGCACGGCGCAGCACGGGCCCCGCTCACGGCATGACCTGCAGAGTAACACCCAGTACGTGTTTCAGGTCAGGTGCCGGCTCAGCCCTGCCAACAGCCCCTGGAGCGCCTGGAGCACCCCCTTTCTCTACACCACGCCCGAGGCAGGTAAGCTCAGCCTTGGTGCTGCTCTTGCTGTGTTTTCCCAAGCACCCCATCGGCTCCTTGAGATGCTCTGCGGGGACCTGGCCAAAGCTCCGGCTGCTGGGCAGCTCAAGTTAGCCAGCAATATGCGCGTGCATAATGCGCACCTGGCACGTGCGTGACGTGCATGTGACTCCGGAGCCTGCATGTCCCTGCACCGCTGGAGACCACTGTTGGCAGACATCAGTCACGATGCTGTGGCCCGAGAGGCACCACTGCCATCCCCAAGCTGCAGCTGAGGGCTGAGCACTGTTACAAGCTGGCAGCTCCTCTCATGCCCTTCTCACATGCTCCCAGCCCTGTGGCACATTGCGGGTGACAGTGATTTTGGCAGACTCCTGAGGCTGCTGCAGCATAGTGAGAGCCAGAGAGAAACCAGGGGGGCTTCGCGGGCACATGGTGTTCCAACCAGAAAGAGGGATGGGATGCGCTTATCTGTCTTTGGTAGCTGGCTTGCTTGCTCCCTGGCAGCAGTGAGCACCTCTTGCCCTAGGTGGAAAAGCCACATCAGGTGAGGTGTCCCACCAGCCACAAATACCTGTCTTCTCAGGTCAGCTTTCCCCCTTTGCATCCTGGTTACTAACAGTGGGATGAACTCAGGCACAGCCGGCTCAGTTATCTCGGCCAGCAGCGGGCTGAGACGCCCGAGCAGTGATGCCCTGGCTTACATTCTGGTCACAGTGAGGAAGCTGGGGACTTGCTTGTCCTAAAAACCAGTGCTCGCTGCTGTTTGCAGTCTGGGCCGTTTCCTCTCCGCGGCAGCAGAGCCATGCAGCAGCAAGCCTGCTGCCAGACTTCCGTGCTGCCGCTGGCTGCGTGGGGACCAGCCCACTGCCGCGCGTGGAGCTGCCAGCCAAGCGGGGCTTTCTGCAAAGGCTGCGCATGGGTGGGAGCCCCGGCTGGTTCCCCTTTGGGGGCTTACGCCGACATCCCACGCTTCCTCCCACAGCCCCTGCCGCAGCACCCGACGTCTGGCGGCGCCTGGGCCCAGCGTTCCCAAACGGCAGCCGCGAGGTGACGGTCTTGATCAAGGTAAGGTATTTTTTGGCAGCTCCTGTGAAATTTTCGCATGCTCTGCTCCTCCCCGAGGAGAGCACCTGCCAAGAGGCAGTTGAAGGCGATGCCCTTCCTAAAGAGCACTTTAGACCAAAGAGTTGGGGTGAGGATGAGACCTTAATGTGTCATTGGGGCAAAATCCATCCACGTGCCACTCAGGTGAGGGGACATCTGTCCTGCACTGGGGCTGCTCAGTGTCGGACCCCAAAGGGCTGTCTGTCTCACCATTTGCAGCCCCTGTCACCCCAGGATGCCCGTGGGAGGATCCTGGGCTACACTGTTGCCGCCGAGAGCCCCAGAGGAATACTCCTCCTCTGCAATACCTCCAGCACAGCATGCAGCATCCTGGTGCCCCCGGGAGCCCGCACCCTCCACGTCACCGCTCACAACTCCAGGGGGGCTTCCAGCCCTGCCATCATCACCCTCAGCCAGGGCACCGGCAGCCAGGAAGGTAGGATCTTGCACACACCAACTGCAGCCTTAACAGAGATCGGATTTTATCAGGATTGCAGGGGAAAAATACTAGCTTTTGCTAAAGCAAGGGAAAAGCCCCAGCGGAGCTCTGTCCACTCCGCCAAGGGAACACAAAGTCCTCCAGACAAGGGCAGCATCCCCCGGAGATGGAGATGCTCTGCAGCCACATACTGCAGCCCTTGGACTTTGAAGGCTGCAACAACAAGTTTAAAAATAAGTTTGTCCTGCCTGTGTTGGCTTGGCACAGGGGTGCTCCTCTACTCCGTGCTCCCCAAAATAGCTCCTGCTGCCTTTGCCAGGGAGACAGCCCCAGCTGCGACCCAGGGTAAACAGAAAGGGAAGAAAAATGCTTTCTGGGCCACCTTAGGTTCTCTGTGCCACAGGTTGTGGTTTTCCCCACAACCACACTTTCCTATTTTTGAAAAAATCTCTCTTTTAATGAGCAATGGGAGGGGAAAGTCCCATTCAAGTTGAGGACAAATATATGACTAAAAAGAAACAAGGTGGAAAAAATTCTCTAATCTCTCATACTTATCAGAATCATGCGCCTTTCTTGTAAGAAATGACAGGTAAAGCATTTCAGATGAGACATGACGAAGCTGAAAGTGCTTTTGTGATACGTGTGCGTGAGCACAGATATATATATAAAAACATATTTGTTTTCTATTAATACAGATTTATTTTATATGTATAAAACCACTGCATTCTAGAATTTCTTGTTGCCTCTTCAGTCCTTAAATACTTTCAGAAAAGCCGTATTTTGCCTGGGTTTAGCTGACCCTTCCAAGTCTCCTGCTCTTCAGAGATGAGGTTCAGGTGACAGCCCCCTTGCCATCTCTCTCCACAGAATTCCCAGCACCAGCAGCCATGGAGGTCAAGCCTGAGAACCAGAGTGGGGTCTTGGTGGCCTGGCAGCCCCCCCGCCACAGCAGGAGGTCCCCACTCTGGTTCATAGTGGAGTGGGTTTCCACTGCCCAGTATAGCCAGGAAGAGCAGTATTTTTGGAAGAAAGTCGCATACCAGGAAACACACACGTACATCCAAGGTAAGATATTCCAGGAGTCCTTTTGCTAATTGGTGCAGTTTATCAGGATATTATAAAGCCAAAATATATTATAAAGGCTAAGTTTCACCCACTCTGTTTCTGCTTCCCACATTAACGATAGAATCGTTTGGGTTGGAAAAGACCCTTAGGATCATCCAGTTCAAGCATTAACCTAACACTACCAAGTCCACCACTAAAACAATTAAGGGTAGAGTAATAATTAATTTCATGTTTCCTGGCTTGGTGGCTGGATTATTTTTTAATAAAAGTAAAACTAGGAATCATTAAGGTTGGAAAGGACCTCTAAGATCATCAGTCCAATCATCAACCCAACACCACCATGCCTACTAGACCATGTCCCAAAGTGCCACATCTACCCGTTTTTTTAACACCTCCAGGAATGGTGACTCCGCCACCTCTCTGGGCAGCCTGTTCCAATGCTTGACCACTCT